GTCAAATAGAACTGCCCGGTAAACCGTAGGCAGAGAGGGAGAAGAGGACAACAAACGAGGGGCTGTGACAAACTGTTTCGTCGGAGTTTCACCGATATATTATATATATATATATTTCGGGCCGTCATTGATGCTTAACCACAACCAGGGTTAAGGTGGATTATCACTTACAGTGTAATCAGTTAGGGGATTCTGCAGACTGTTGAGGGTTCAGCCTCCAGATGAGTCGGTGAAACTCCCACGAAACAGTTTGTCACAGCCCCTCGTTTGTTGTCCTCTTCTCCTTCTCTACCTACGGTTTACCGGCCAGCTCTATAGTCAAACAGAGATGCCTAGTAAACCGTAGGCAGAGAGGGAAAGAGCTGCCCGGTAAACCGTAGGCAAAGAGGGAGAAGAGGACAACAAACAAGGGGCTGTGACAAACCATCTCATCGGGGTTTCACCGACTCATCAGGAGGCTGAACCCTCAACAGTCTGTAGAATCCCCTAACTGATTACACTCTAAGTGATAATCCACCTTAACCCCCGCTGTGGTTAAGCATCAACGACTGACCGACAACTGATACCCTGAGGTGGGCACCAACCGCTGCCCTCAATATATATATTGTCAAACAGAGCTGCCCGATAAACCGTAGGCAAAGAGGGAGAAGCGGACAACAAACGAGGGGTTGTTGCAAACTGTTTCGTCAGAGTTCCACCGACTCATCAGGAGGCTGAACCCTATATATCTGTATATATATATATATATGATGCTTAACCACAGCCGGGTTTAAGGTGGATTATCACTTATAGTGTAATCAGTTAGGAGATTCTGCGGACTGTTGAGGGTTGAGCCTCCTGATGAGTCGGTGAAACTCCGACGAAACAGTTTGTCACAGCCCCTCGTTTGTTGTCCTCTTCTCTCTCTCTCTCTCTCTCTCTCTCTCTCTCTCTCTCTCTCTCTCTCTCTCTCTCTCTCTCTCTCTCTCTCTCTGTGCGGAAGAGGGAACATTCATTCAGATGTACTCTGCAGAACTGGCCTGAAGCCTACTGAACTGAAATGTTCACAAGGAATTTCATCTGTTGAACTTCAGTTCGACTCATGCCCGTGTACCCTGCCTGTATCGTACCTGCCTCATCACATTCATCAGCAACCTTGTCTGAGACACTGCCTCATCACATTCATCAGCACCCTTGTCTGAGACATCATGAGTAGGAATGCAAACTGGTCTTCTCATCGGGGGTTCAAACTCAGCAAACCCTTTTGCCTGCAGAACTTGGAGAAGCAGTAGCAGAGGAAGAAGAAACAGTGGGGGAAGTAGGGAGAGGAGAACGGGGAGGAGGGGGGGGAGAAGAAGGGGGGGGGGGGGGAGAGAAGTAGGGGGAGGGGAAGAAGACCGGGAGGGGGGAAGAGAGAAGGGGGCGGGGGGGGAGGAGAAGGGGGAAGAAGGAGGAGACACCAAGAAAGGGAAGAAACAATAACAGAGGGGGTAGAACAAGGAAATAAGAAGGAAGAAAGAGGAAGAGAGAAGAAAGAACAAAGAACAAAGAAGAAGAAAGATGAAAAAAGAAGAGAGAAAAGAAAGAAGAAGCAGGTATCAAAAACAGATGGGGGCATGCATCCACTTCCAAAATGGTTGAGGAGACAAGTAAGCAAACAGGGAAAAGGAGATAAAAAACTTGAAAAAAGAGACATGCGACAGGTTCATGTAGGCGTTTCAGAACCAGTACAGATCACCCCCTACATCTAATCACAGCGGGCTGGGGTCACCCATCACAAATGTGACAGGCGAAGGAAATAATGCTATCATCTGAGAAGAAAGCGCCTGGAAGGCAAGTTCTAATTGCTCATATGCGAGCTCACTATCATCCAAACAAAACATGTGGCAATCCATCAGGATTCCGGAATCATGTCCTTTTTTCCATTCATCATCATCGTCATCATTGTGTGTCCACACCACACACTTCAAAGGACAGCAACTTGTGAAACTTCAAATAGTGTGAAGATGTGAACCTACAACTCACTTACCGGCAAAGTCATAATCATCCACCAAGAAGTTCTCTGGCTTCAGGTCACGCATGAGAACACCCATTTTGTGTAGCTCGGCCATCGCTCGGCAGATATGCGTGCAATACCTGATTGATTGGGAACGGAAGCAGCAGTTTGTTCAAAAAAGGTCATGTATGAAACATCCTTTTGTGAGGGGACTTTAAAAACTCCTCAGCTGCATCTTCTCAACGCCTTGCCAAAGGAAAACACACGACACCAAACCGACATGCATCTATTCAAAATCTTCTGCAGACAACACAAACTCATTTGTACAACTAATGTGTGTGTGTGTGTGTATATATAGATCATAGATCTGCACTTGCTCATCAAGAAACCGATCATAGATCTGTGGCTGCTTGTACATAAATAGATCATGGATCTGCACTTGCTTATCAAGAAACCGATCATAGATCTGTGGCTGCTTCTGCACCTTTTTTTTGTAATACCGATAATGCAATCTGGATTTAAATAGATGTTATGATCCTACTACATTCATAATGCAAAACTCAAATGTGAGAAAATGTAAGACTTGCTGAACTCAAAAGAAGAAATGGAGAGAGATAAAGAGCGGAATAGAATGAACTTCAATGAAGAGAACAGAAGCAGAAGAAGAATTACACAAGTCGAAACCAATGTCATTCCCCTCACTTCTTCTTCTTCTCATCTTATTCTCCCTTCCTCCGCCTCTTCCCGACATGAATTAATTACAACAAAAAATGAATGAATAATGTCATAGCATTCCCCCTTACTGGCAGCACTCAAAGAGCCCTCCATTCAGCCATAACCCCACTCTTCTTCACTCAGTTGCATCTGCAACTATGGAGGTTCATCAATGTTCATCACGGACGTTCAAAGGACAATCCAAATACTGCTATGCCTCTCCCATCTCATCCCGCCGTAGCCACACTCTCGGATGAAGTCCAAGCCTGTACCCACCCACACAGGGGAGGGGCCTAATGGATGCAGCACCAACCAAGGAAGTGGAGATGACGGTCCACCACACCCAAAGGTGAGTCTCTCATGTTGGTTCCTGTCTCTCTCTCCCTGTCTCAACCTCAACACCCTTCTTCTACCCTTCTCCACTGCCTAGGCCTACACCCTACCACTACTACTACTCTATAGCCATGGAGGTCTTCGTCTTGCTCGGTGTCTTCACCGCTCAGCCAGGACTCGGCCTTACTTCTCCCTCTAGGTGGAGTAGCAGCATGACTGCCGCAAAAAGATGCATCGTGCCTCTGGCCACCAATCATATACTCTTGCTTTCTTGGCCTCCTACTCCTCCAGGCCGGGTACTACTGCCTCCACTGGCCTATGGGGCCTACTGGAAGTTCCTGCTTTTAGGCGGGAACTCTCTGCGGCCTGCAATCCAGCCACTGGGCCTGTATCTACCCTAACACCTGCCTAGATACGGGCTTGGACTCTCAGGTTTCTTTTGGAGTATACTGGATCTATCCAAGCCTACCCGGCTGAAGTTGGACCTACCCAGGGCTGAAAAATCCCCAATGGGTACCTGTCAAATTCTACCTTTGTCCCTGTCCGTCCTGGCCTTTCTACCAAGTCTGTTCAGTGTCCAGTTCCCAGTCCTACCCCTGTAGTTCCCCTATTTCTGAACTACCCCTTCCCAAGACACAGAGAACACAGGACGAGCACACAGTACGTCACATAGGGACTTAAACACACGCAAGCAAACATCATTCTTACTCAGAAGTTCATAGGAGTTTCACCAACTCATCAGGTGGCTGAATATTGAAAGCATTCCATGCCTCTCAGCATCTAAGTCCCAGATCGGGTCCCAAGTCCCAGAGTCCCATTGACCATAGTACCAGCCATAGGTAGGTTGGCTGCATCAAGGTGCGGTAGTTGCCGTAAGACGGTAGGTTGAGGAAATCTGGTAGGCCCAGTTCCTTAGAAGGGTCGAGTTAGCCGCCTGTCAGTTCAGTCGAGTCAGCAGCTTGGTCCCTGGAAAGTCATTGTAACTTTCGGATCTGTCTAAGAGAAAACCACGGCCGGCAAAGCAAGGGTACCAGTCTGGAAAAGTCCAAGATTGCTGGAACTGCAGCAAAGTAGAAAAGTCCAGCAGCAGCAAAGCGTCAACACAATTTCCATTCGGGCCTGTTGCGAAAGTGTTGTTGCGGTCTTGGGGGGTCAAACGTCAAGTGACTTTGTCGTGTAGCATAATTGACGGCGCCTGGCACCACAGCTTACCTTGACTGATATACCGCGGAGAGGAAAGATTTACACACACACACACACACACACACACACACACACACACACACACACACAGAGAGAGAGAGAGAGAGAGAGAGAGAGAGAGAGAGAGAGAGAGAGAGAGAGAGAGAGAGAGAGAGAGAGAGAGAGAGAGAAAGAATAGCTTTTTGTTGTTGTTGGGTTGCGGCCATAGCTGCCGATGTACATACATGCATCCTGTTGTCAAGAAGGGCTGAAAAAGAGAAGAGGGAAGAGAGGACTCACCGCAGCAGTGGCTTCAACTCCAATCGACCGCCTTGCTTTTCCATAAGAGCCCTCAGTGAGCACTTGTATTTCTTCATGATGATGCACAATCGGCCATCCTTCCGACAGATTCCAATCAATTGGCAGACAAATGCACAGTGCTTTGACACGTAGAATAACATCTCCATTTCCTTCGTGAATGCCTCATCCGTGTCTTTCTCGGAACGAGATTCTGTCTGGATTTCACATGCTGTAGGCAACGACGACTTGAACAGGCTGATCATGCCACGTGTCAGAGGAGCATTCCATCATCCCTCGAGGAAGAGATCACATCCAGCTCAGGTTTTACTATTTACTATTTATGTATTTTTTATTTTATTTTTTGAAAATTTAAAAGGAGTTAGCCCGCATGTCGGCGATGATATTGCGTTATTCAGCAGGATTCGGACCCATGATCTGTTTCTTGACAGTTAGATCATCAAGCTTAGACGGGCATTGTGTATCATGCAGCCACTGGGCAGTCTGAAGGGGCATACCCTTGTGAATTACCTTTTTTTTTTTGTTTATGGAAGGGCTCTGAGGTCATGCCTTGTCAATCATCAAGCTTAATATTTGTTGTATGATGATTGCTCAGTCAGCCGAGGACCGGTTCCAATGGCCATTAAGGTGAGACTATGTTCAACCTGTGCAGCCCAGCATTCATGACATTTTCCAAGGCCTTGCCTTCATTTCAACAGATCAGCTCTTGGGATGGATAGGCAGACTTGACAGAGCTGTCTATGGTTTTGTATAGTTTGTTAGTTACCTAGTTTAGTCATAGACATTGAGACTATTGATCAGCTGCAGGTTGTTTGGCCTGTCAGCGTAACAACGACATTTACATCATTTCATATTGTTACTCAACAACCACATCATATGCTGTGTTAGTGTGCTTGGTTTATGAATACCTGCAGTGGTCCCATTTGTCTTCAGAAGCTTACAATCAAATCTCACATGAACACACACTGCTCAACTCTGTGATAACAAGCAAAAATTGAGACAGGATAGAAAGATAAGACAGCAAAAATTGAGACAGGATAGAAAGATAAGACTATGTGAAGAAGAAGATCGAAATAATGGAGTTATTGGACAGGATAGAAAGATAAGACTATGTGAAGAAGAAGATCAAAATCATGGGATGTACAATGTTCAAGCTGCTTCTCCCTCTTCTTCCACAGGAATCCTTCTCGCCACAACAATGCACCCAATGGCTTGTATCTTTCGATGAACCCACCACCAGTCTGAACACAATGTCACTTGCCAAATCAATTTCTCTACAGCGCTGGCTATCTCAGGCTAGCACAATGAAGCTGGAACTCGAAATGACGATGCGAATCTTCTGCGGCAGCATGGAGTCCTCTTCTTCCAAATCACGACCACATTGTCTCTCTGAAGCTATGGTGACCTTCTATCTCACCACCTGACCTCACTACCGTCTTCACCCGAATAGAAAGCCCGGTCATTATCGCCGCATCTGGACTGAAAGTTGTGCCACCTACAGCTATAATGAGCGGGTGTTCTATTCGGGTGAAGACGGTAGCACAAGTGCCACACTCTCTGTACAGAACAAGCGCCAACAGGATGAAGTGCTGGCATGAAGAGTGATGGTCTCTCTCCTCTTGGCGTCTTCTTCCTCTAGTAGCGATGGCCGCCAGTCAACGGGTAAGCTTCGTACACCGTGCTGGAATGAAGAGTGCTGGTCTCTCTCCTCTTGGAGTTTTCTTCCTCTAGTAGCAATGGCCGCCAGTCAACAGGCAAGCTTCATACACCTCTTGCCAAACCTTGTGCAATGGTTGCCTCCTCCCTCCCATCTCCACCCCTGACCACCCTCTTCATGGTGCACTGCAGTCAAGCTCTATAGTCCACAACACCTTTGAGCCCTGGATGAAGAATGTGGAGCGCATGCAACCACTACCATCTTCACCCAAATAGAACGCCCGATCATTATCACTGCATCTGGACCGAATATAATGACCGGGCATTCTATTCGGGAGAAGACGGTAGTCTTCTCTGCAGCAGCTATGGCTGAACACTCCAAGTTGACACACACTCCAGGTAAGCTTCCTCTTCCCCCCGAGCCTTGGACGCTTCCTGCCTCAGATCTCCCCTCTCCTCTCTCTAGTAGCTATGGCGCATCAGCACCTTCTGCAGGCTTTGGCTACCACTCTCTCTCACTCTAGACATGGCAGCCTCTCACTCTCTCTGTCTGCCTTCTCCCGCACCCACGGTAGCACGCCACTGTAGCACATCACTGGTCTTCACCCAGTACCTATTCACCAGTAGAATAGAAAGAAGAAGATCATCAAAGAAGAAGAATTACACAAGCTACACCAATGTCTTCCCCCTCATTCTTCCTCCTCATCCCTCTTCTTCTCCTTTACTCCTCCTCTCAATGATCAATTAAATGCAGCAACAAATGAAGGACTGAACAGGAATCATGTCCGCCCTTAGTGCCAGCAACTCAAGAGACCACCTTGCAGCCCTAACCTCACCTCTCTCTTCTCTGTAGCATCTAGGGATATGGCAGAGCATCCATGCTCATCACAGATATTCAAAAGACAATGCAAGCACTACTATGTGAGTCCCATCTCCTTCCGCCATAGCCACACCCTTGGAAGATGTCCAAGCCCAACGGGGACCCCCAATTGGGCCTTCTTGATGCAGCTCCAACCAAGGAAGTGAAGATGAAGGTCAACCATAGCCAAGGTGAGTCTCTCTATTTCGGTTCCTCTCTCTCTCCCTCTTCCTCACCTCCTACTACCTTCTCCTGGCCCTCTTCTCCCTCTGGCATGGGGCGCTTCACCCTCTGCCATGACAGGCAGTTTTGAGCCCTACTACCACTACTCCTCCATAGCCATGGAGGTCTTCACCTTCACCCTCCAGCTCCACCTTCTCCTTCCAGTGCTCCACCAACTTCCCCCCTCTGGGCAGAGCACAATGCTCACTAGAAGAATGAACCAAAGAGAGCTCTACTGCTCTTGGCACCGAATGATATACTCTTTTCCTACCAGTGACTCCTGGCCGAATTTCACTGTAGCTCGGCCTCCCTTGGTGCCCTGGACCTACTGGAAGTTCCCGCCTTTTGGCGGGAACATTATTGCAGCCTGGAACTACCCCCCAGGGCCTGAATCGACCCTAGTACCTATCTATGTACAGCCCCTGGGGCCTGGACCTTTGTAACGTTTTGGTTCTACCTGGCCCTACCTGAGTTGCTGAAAAACACCTACCAGGTCCCTATCAAATCCTACTGCTACCCCTGGCCAGCTAGAGCTTCTGGCAAGTTCTTCTGTTGCCAAATTTGGGGTCTACCCCAGCTCGAGGTACAGAAACAAAGCACGGAGACTTGGACTCAGGCAAGTTTAAGGCACATGCACGTTCGTGGTAGGTGACACACACAAACACACACACACACACACACACACACACACACACACACACACACACACACACACACACACACACAGAAAACACAGAAGAACACTGAACCCGCATCAAATCAGTCCAGCAAGCAGCAATACTCAAAAGACAGCAGAAATCTCAGACTGACTCTGTGCGGGTCATTGCAACTTTCTTAATTTGATGGGGGACCGCGATGCTACCAAATGAATTGCTCTTTTGCACTGCTTGTTCTACTGGGCGTGATAGCGAAGGAGACACTACACTAGTCTATAGCGAGGCGGACGCTATTGAGATTGGCAGAGAAAGGTCAACCTCTCTTCATTTAAAAAAGAAAAAAATAAATTATGAAGGGAACCACATGTTGTTTCCATATGACTCCAATGGGGCTTGATGGGGTTTGATGGGCTCGATGGGCATGATGGGGTCTGATGGAGATTGCTGGGGCTCAGTGGGGCTCAAAGAAAGTCCCAAAAGGTTCAAAACGGAAAACCCTTTTTTCACGCATCAGTTGAGTGTTTTGAAAACCCAGCCCAAAGAAGAGGATGAGAATCGTGCATGATGGACAGAGGACAACTCACCACTTGACAGCAACTTCAACGCTCCGCCCACCCTCCTGCAATAGCCCAAGCCGTACTTCTCCGAAATCACCGGCTCCAATCTTCTCCCCAAGCTCTAACCTGTCAGCATCAATCCAAAGAGAAAGCCGCAACTGCGGGGCACCCACGGCCTGCTGGTCTTTGTGTGCCTCACTGCTCCCCTCCGATCCCCGACAGCCAACACATAACCCCCAATAAGCAGATGATGATTGGGTGCTAGGGTCAAGGACTCAAGGTGTGGGTGTGGTTGATGAAGTGTGCAAGCATCAGTATAGCTTGTCAGACTTGTCCTTGCCTTCATCCTCTTGCTGCTCTCTGCCCTCCTCATTCATAGTACGGGCGAGCTGAGAACTGCCCTCGGTAGCCAGGGTGAACGACCAACTCTGAACATAGCGACAAGTTGGTGGGTGAGAGAAAGGGGATACAAATCGTTGACCTTGCTAGCCTTGTTTTCTTCTTCTTCTTCTTCTTCTTCTTCTTTTCGTTGTTGTGCCGTTGTTGTTCTGGTTGCTGTTGTCATGTTTTTGTAAAATGTCACCATAACGAACCGCTTTTGGAGTCAGATGAGTAGATCCAAATTTGAAACAAACTGCTTGACCTTAGTTTCTTCTACATGCAAACTGTCTAGTATCTACATAACATTTCTTCTACATGCAAACTGTCTAGTATCTACATAACATTTCTTCTACATGCAAACTNGTCTAGTATCTACATAACATTTCTTCTACATGCAAACTGTCTAGTATCTACATAACATTTCTTCTACATGCAAACTGTCTAGTATCTACATAACAACCCCTTTTCCACCAGAAGAGTAGATCCAGAATCGAAACGGCCTGTTTGACCTTAGAATCTTCAACAGCGAGCGAATATATGAAGCAGGCAAAAACCATGATATTGGTGTGTCATCATGCTATTCTTTCCTTGCCATTATATTGCCTTTTCCTTGTGACTATCGCCATGTTGATTGTGGTCGAGCGCACGCTGCCCACATCCCCATGTGCCTTAAACCACCAGTTCACATGAACCCCTAAGTAGTGCTCCTACTGGTATACACAGTAAGAGCATTTTGATTTGGGCCTGAACCGGTGGCGAAAGCGGCTGGCCACTTTGAAAAGGCGCAGCTGCAGGCTCGCAATCCTTGGAAGGTAGCTTCGTAACTTAGGCTTGTGTGAACTGGTGGTTTAAGGCACCAGTACACCACACATCGGCCCGCGGGCGTCAGCACGGAACCCGCACCACTTCAGAGGCCGCCGATTTTTTTGTCAACGGCACCCCATGCCGCCCGGCCCCTATGAGTTTTGCTTGTGGTGACAAGAACTTTCTGCACGGCTGGGGCCATGTACTTGCGGTTCAAACCACCAGTACCTTTCCCAGGCATTTTGCCGAATTGCGCGGTTAACACGGAGGCCGCGCTCGGCCTCCGGTGGCGGCCACATGCACCGCCAAAACTCGGCGCGCACGGCCCGTGGCCGATAGCTGGGTAAGGTACTGGCGGTTTAACGGCCCACGTGCACGTGTTGAAAAAGAGGCAGGGTAAGGAAGGGGGAAGAATAGCCCTGTTCAGTATTCAGAACAACTTCAATTTAGACATTGTCTGTTCTCTTGATGATGCTCATTCATGTGCATTGAACCTGGGCACCTGGGGCAAAAGCAGAGGGTCAGCCACAGAAACAAACCAAGAACATGAACACAGTGGGAGGGAGAAGATCTGCATGAGAGGAAGGAAGGAGGAGGGAGAGGAACAAGAGGAAGTTGGCGGGACAAAGAAAGAATAGAGGATAGACCAACTTCACATGGTTCTCAGCATTCACTGCCTGAGCAGACTGCTATGGAGTGGTAATTGGGGTTTCCATCAAGGATCAGAGGGTGGGTCGCTGTTGTGGAGTGGGGAAACAGTCAGTGCGAAGTGAATAAGAAGTGGGAGATTCAGTCGCGTCAGTTGCACTCGCACTCATAGTGGATGCGAGTCACGTGAATGCTGCACAGGTGGATGCACCTCGTGTCTGGTGCACACACAATCCTGCATTACTGTAAGAAGTCATCACCTGCATTGTGGACAGCCGCCAGCGGCCTTGGTATGCACTGTTCCTGGCTTGCGTGTATTGGGATCGGCAACGTCGTTGCGTACGGTTGCGAGAGCATGGCGGCGGAGCAGATCTCTGACTTCCGCCGAGGACCTGGTGATGATACTATTCAGGGACAGACGCGACCTCCTATTGTTATGCGTGTGTCTGTGTTGATGTGTGTGATAGATATCCTCAGTGACCACACGTCACACCAAGACATGGTGTTCCTCACGGAACAGGCTCAACATGAACTCCCATAAATGTGTTCCCAAGCTTCCCAGCCCAGCGCACATTCAAGCATAAAAGTTGATAAATCCCATGTGTCCTCAACACAGATACACAACCAAAGCTACATACAAAATAAACAAAGGGCATGAGGCGAAGAACAAGAAGCAAAACAAAAGAGGTGAACCACAGACTGTTTCGTCAGACTTGCACCGAATCATCAGGACGCTTAACCCTCAAGGGTCTCTGGACTCTCCATATTGATGCTTTGCGCCATAGACTGGTTTGACCCTGTGCTAAAAATGTGGGCGCCTGGTTTGAGCCTGCGAACGGTTTAATGGTACGCCTCTGGTATTGGCTCTGCATTTTACATGGTTGGGCCTCAAGCCTTTGTAAGTTTGTAGTCAATACATAATCGTATCAATACATAATCGTATCTGCCAGAAATGGTATTGGACACCATATGAAGACAAAGTGGGTTTTCACCACCCCTGTTCTACTAGCTCATCCATTGTTTTCGCAACTCTTACAACTCCTTTAAAAACATCCTATAGATCAGGCCCTTCGGAATCTTACTCTTGGGGTCTATCTCTATGTGGTGCTTGATCTCTCTTTCAACTACTCCCCTACGTATCTCTTTAAGATCAGCAAACTCCTTCAGAATTGATCTGATTGGGGGTGGTACTCTGTCAGGCCTCTTCTCTGAACTGCCCTCTTTATCCTTGTTTCGCTTTGCTGGTTTGACTAAGGCCAGATAGACCTGATGTAACATCTCTTTCTTGGTTACGTGGGTGGAAAGCATTGGGGTACTCATGCAGCACACAGACAGGGAGGACCTTTGTCCAGACTCAAGAAACAAGCGGACTCTTTTCTGGATAAAATTCTGGCCAATTCTGGGTGAAGAATATTTAGCATTCTTGGAACAAGGGTGGCAAAGAAAGGGGTTGGGGCAGGAGCCGGTGACGGGGATTGTCACGCTCTTGTATAAAAAAGGAAGTCCGGACATTCGTAACTACAGGCCAATAATACTCCTCACGCTGACGCACAAGATCATAGCCAAAGCACTTGACTTTGAGGAGTTACCGCGGGTTGCTTCCATCTGGACCAGACAGGGTTCATACCAGGATGGTTCATTCTGGACAATGTCATGACACTAACTGAGTCCGTACGCTACATAACAGACAAGAGAATTAATGCGGCAATATTATTCTTCGACTTCGAAAGGCGTACGCTACATAAAAGACAAGAGAATTAATGCAGCAATGTATGTGAAAAAGATGGGAGTGGGACCGAACTTCCACAAATGGATCAGAGTTTTGTACAACGACGCGCACGGGCAAGTTCAGGTTAGTGGCCACCTATCGGACAAATATAGAATGTCGCGATCGGTTAGACAAGGGGACCCCCTGGCGGCGCCTATCTTCCTCTTCATTATGGAAGTGGTGGCCTCCTTCCTGCGCAAGGACCCGTCAATCCAACGGCTTATTGCTGAGCCAGACCAGAAAGGCTGCCTCACCCACCTACCCACGACCCTCCTCTTCGCAGATGACCTTACAGTTTTGATCAGGCCATCAGACTCATCCTTTCAAGCACTCGCGCGGGTGATCGAAGCCTTGCAACTAGCACCAAAGATGAAAATAAACTGGCCGAAGACAGTGGGCTGGTGCTTGACAAACCAAGATGGAGGAGCAGACCTGGCCATAAACCCAGAAGGGCTACAATGGGCAACAGCTCAAGCGCCATTAAGATACTTGGGAGTCAAGATTACGGAAGCAGGTCCACACCAGTCAATGGCGGCTGATCTTATGGCCAAGATCCTAGCAAAACTAGGCGCTTGGTTGGCAATTTATATGTCAGTATTTGGCAGGGAACTCATATTATACACATCCATCTTCTCTATGCTAAGGTACGTCGGGACGATCTGGACTTCCCCAGCACAAACGGCCTCCACATTGCGACGAAGAGCGGCAGAATACCTATGGACCTCAAATCCAAACAAGACCCACTTTATTTCTGAAGTGGCGTGGAAGCACGTTACTTGAACAAAAGAACAGGGAGGTTTAGGGAGGGAGCCCCGGTTGATACAGAGAGGGACCAAGGGAGGCATCGTATTGGCACCAAATGGTGAAACTGTGGAAAGATATCTCCCCAGCTAAAGTCAGGGAACCCCGTACAAGGGAGGCGACACTCCACCAACCATTGCTTTTTAACCCGAGCATCAAGGACATACAAGGAAAACTGATAACGCTCACAGCAAAAGACACTACGTGGGGAATCTCGGTGGAGCATGGCGTATGGCAGATCAAGCACCTCTGGGCAGAGGACGAGCAGCGGTGGAAGACAGCCAGGGAACTCAGGGTGGAACTCAAGAGGAGCCATAGACTATTGGAGAACCTCAACGATCTGCTGGTGGCCATACCGCAAGAATGGTTAGAGTTGCTGCAGACAGGGACTCAGTGGGGCCTAGGAGACACATGGCAACACGAGAACGAACCACGGGAAGTCTTCAGAATCTGGAACCAGGAACCTACAAGAAAGGAATGGTTGAACGCAGATATGTACGACATCATGAATCTAGGAAGCACCACCAGTCGCCTGGATCAAGCGACCAAAACACCGATCACCATCCAACGGCAGCATCTGCGCAAAGTAAGAGTGGTGGAAACGGAAGAATTCACAATCTTCTGCCCTACCACATCGGTGGAAGACCTGGTAAGTAGACCCAGGGGAATGGCGTGGAGCATGAGAGGAGGAAGACTGGGGGTGGCAAGAAGGATCAATATCTTGCACTACACTACTCAAATTGGATATAGGTTGAGAAGGCGATCCTACCCTTTGATGGCATCGCTGTCCAAGCGC